TGGCTAGAATGGTTCCATTTTCGGGTCGTATGAGTCACACACTCAAATGACATAACATCATGGTTTTTAAAACCGACTCGGAGACCAAAACGGTTAGGGGTCCGGTTACCGGGTCCAACGGTCGGCTGTTCTAACAAAACTGTTTGAACGGTTTGAACAGTTTGATATAATAACTATTATATATTTATATAATTAGATAATTATATAAACAATATTTATATAATTAATAGGAAATGGGATTAACAATTTTTATAGTAACTATTATATATTTATATAATTAGATAATTATATAAACAATATTTATATAATTAATAGGAAATGGGATTAACAATTTTTATAGTAACTATTATATATTTATATAATTATATAATTATATAACAATATAATTAGATAATTATCTAACAATTAGGAAATGGGTTGCTCTCACATGGGAATCTACTCCCATTTCCTACACGGAGAGAGCATCCTAATCCTATTAATATATATGTACTAGCGGAGACCCATGTGATGCACGGGATTTATTAAGTGAAAGCCAAATAGTAGAAAGGGTCATTTACTAAAATACCCTTTGGATTTAACAAAATCTACCCTATAGTTAGCATTTTACTGAAACACCACTTATAATTTGCAATGGATTTAATCAATCTTTCATTAGATGACAGTGAAAAATGATAGTGTTGACCCTAATGTTCATTTAAATAAATTTAATCAAAAGAAAATAAAAATAAAATATCATTTTTTCCCTTAATAAGACACGAGCAACCATTCTATTGGCTATATTTGGTCAATTTTGTTTTCTGTACAAAAAGTGTTAAGGGTATTTTTGGAATAAAAAAATATGGGCTTAATGGTAAAACAAACAATCCTTAATGAAAGGATGATTAAGTAAATAAGTTGTAAAATATATGGGATGTTTTAGTAAAATGAAAACTATAATGTAGGTTTAAGTAAATATGTAAAACTATAAGGTGTGTTCCAGTGATGACCTTAAGGCTACGTTTGGAATTAGTGTAAAAGTACACTGATGATGTTTACACTAAACTAGAAAGTGACCGCTGTTTTTTTTTTTTAAATAGTGATGGGTGGAAGAGTGTAAAGTTTTATATCGATAAAATCAATGCAGTTTTTACATCGATTATTGGTGTAAAACTTTAGAGGTGATGAGGTTTATATCTATTATCGACGTAAAACTACACTCCATCCAAACACACGCAAAACTGAACTGGAGTGTAGTTTTACATCGATAATAATCACGCCCTCTTTCCAAACGCATATAAAAGCCAAGTTCTTGATTTACATCGCATCCAAATTTAGCCTAATAGAAACACATAAGAGTATACAATTGTTTTATACTTTCAACTTTTTAAATAATTAATAATTATTCATATTTTATATACTACTTTTAATATTTTTTTTATAATACAAAAATAACAATAATTAATTTCAATTAGGTTTATTCATCAAACTGATGAAATTGACCAACTCAATCAACTCGACCCGAGTTGGTCGGTTTTCTATTATTTTAAGTCAGCTTTGTAAAAAAATTTCTCAATTTGACCAAGTTGGATCAGTTTCGCTTTGGCCATTTGTAAACCAACCAAAATCGAATGACCTAACCATGGATATATATTAATATTTATATTTTAAATATAATTTTTAATATGGAAAATTGGGAAATTTCCCATATTTCTTAGTCTAAAATGTTTTATATCATAAATCTAATTTTTTAATAGTTGCACTATAATTTTTAGAATTAAATTAAAATTTTAAGTTTAAATCTTTTAAACCGACTGACCAAACCAAAAAATTGACCCAAACCGACAACTTGAGTGGGTTGATTTTCACAAAAGATCAGTTGATTTCAGCTGACCAACTCCCCAACTTGACCAGGTCAATTTGGTTGGCCAAATAGCCTACGACCGAACCGGACCAACTCATGAACATTCATAATTTCAGCTAAATTAATAGTCTCATCTCTAATAAATCACAATAGTTTAATCTCCGATAATTATTGAAAATTTATAGTGAAAATACACAATTATTGAAAATATATTGATAATGAAAAAATACAATAAGTACTAAAAATATATTAACTTAGTCAATAAATAGTATAATCTCAAATAATAGTTTAATCTTTAATAAATATTAATCAATAAGTTATAACAAAGATATAATAAATTAAATTTAAAAATTTCAATAATAGTAGTTTAATCTCCAATAAATATTGAAATTTTTTCTATTAAATAACAAAACAAAATAAATTTATACATAATCATTGAAAACACATTTATGACAAAAAATAATAAATAATTACTGAAATACAATAAATATTAATTTTAGTATATATAATAAATACAGATTAAGAGTTAAAAATTATTATTAATTAAATATTAAATTTTTGAAAGTTATTTTCTCAAATTATTACTTGATATAAGTGAAATTAGTTATTTACAATATTATGTAAAATTTTAAATTATTATTAATTTCAATATTATTTTTTTAAATTTATTACATGACTTCTTTATTTTAACTATTTAAAATCTAGTTATTTAAACTCTTAAGTAGTATGCAAAATATTTAAATTTTAAAATATTAATTATTTATTGAATTTAGTTATCCATAAAATCATAATTTATACTATTATTACGTAATTTCATTATTAGTTTTGTAATATATTAAATTATTATTAATTTCAATATTATGTTATAATTATTTTTCCATGTTGAAGATCTTTTTTAAATTTATTACATAATTTCGTTATTTTAACTATTGAAAATATAGTTATGATAAATATTTAGTTATTTAAATATTTAAATAATCTATAAAATATTTAAATTTTTTTTGTTATTTATTTATAGCTATTACATATTATTAATTATTTAAAAAATATTTAAATTGATAATCCAGAAAAATATAATTTAAATTGTTAGTACAAAATTTCGTGATCTATTTTATAAAAATATAAAAATAGTTTTTTGTGTTTTTAATAAATATTTTAAAGTTATTATATAATTTTGTTAGAATATTTAAATGATTCTTAAATTTTTTAATCCAATTTATCTTTAGATAGATATAGATAAAAAGTAGGAGAAAGGATAAATAGGAATTAGAGATAATTTATGAGATAAATAGTAACTAGAGATAATTTTGGAGAAAGTGGATGAGGTAGTTTAGGAGAAGATATTATTTAGCTTATTAAGAAAATGCATCTCATTAGTTGTTCAAATTGACTTTTGATCCTTTGACCGAGGAGTTTAGGACTACATATAATAGTGGTTTTGTACCGACACGCCCCTACCAGGGGTGTATTGGGTCAGACCATGATTCAAAAGGTAGCTGGGACTTAAATCGACCCCTTTGAACCGATTTTGAAAAAAAAATAATTAAAACACGGAAATATAAATAAAACACAAGAACCTACCGACAAATCGGCCTATATCGATATTTAGAACTTTGCATGGAGGTACATCGAAATACATACCTATATACAAATAAGGGAAAAAATGTGATTTGAACTATAATTTACTTCATTCAATTCCTTCTCATTAACTCTTATATTTAAGGTATTAATTCCATTCTCTATCATTAAGTCCTATATTTAAGTTATTTTTTCTCACTAATAAATTTTAATTTTTTTTCTAGAACTATTTCTAATACTTTTAGCAATATAAAATCCATGTTTAAAGCCAAAAATGGCACATTCTTCTATCTTGGTGGCAGGTAAGTAATTCAACCATCTAAGTAAAATGGGTGAACCGATGATATCATAGGTAAAAATAATAAAACTTTTAAAATGAAAATAAATACTAAAAATATTTAAGAATAAGAAATTGAAAAAAATGATCATATTTCTAATATTTTATATTAATCACATTAAAGAAATATATGCATGATAAACAATAATTGTTTTTATTGATGTGAAAAATGAAATACAAAATCTAAAACTAGCCCAAAAATGAAATTGTTCTCGCATTTGGTGGTAGGTCAAAAGTCCAAACTTTTGGGTCAAATGTGTCAACCATTAATGTCAGAATTAAATAATATTTTTTTTTAAATAAAGACAAAATAAAAATACAAAAGTTCACCAATATTTTATACTAATATTAAATAAAAACAAGTGTAATAAATGGGAATTGTTTTTACAATTGATGGAAATGAAACACAAAATATAAAATAACCCAATTGGGTGGAGGGTTGACAATTTAACCTTTTTGATCAAATTTGCAAGCCCTTTGATAGTATAATTAAAAAATAAAAAGTATGAAAAAATATAAAAAACAAAAAATATTATGAAAAATGAATAAAAAAAATTGTAGAAAACAATTGGGTACATCTCAAATATTATATATTCACCATATCAAACAAAACCAATGTAGAAAAATTTAGGCACACCTCTAATATTTTATTGATGATAATATTTTATTAATCATATTAAAGAAAAAAGTGTGATAAGAAATAATTGTTTTTATTGATGATGGTAACAAAATACAAAATTCAAAACTAATCTAAAAGTGAAGTTGTTCTCATGTTTTGTGGTAGGTCAATAGTTCAACCTTTTAGGCCAAATGTGTCAACCTTTGATGTCATAAATAATAAAACTTAAACAAAGATAAAAACACAAAAATGTTACAAAAATAAATAAATTTTGTAGAAATCATTTGGGCACATTTGTGATATCATATATTCATTAAACAAAAATAAATTTTATACATAATAATTATTTTTGCACAGATATACACAATTTTTCACCATATCCAAAGTGTATCTTAAAATTGCTTTTCATATACTCTTTGCATTTCCGATATTTTGAACTTGACACAACCCCAACCAACATAAAGCCAACTAAATATTCCTAATTATCTAATCAATCTGCATATTCTTGTTGATACAAGAACACCATAATAAAAGTTTGTTGTTTTACAGGCGTAATATTTACTATTTCAACAGTTCAACCATTGGGTGATCCCCAAAGAAAGTTTAATTAATAAGGCCTCCAAAGCTAAATCAGTAAATCCATCCTTTAAACACATACAATATAAGCTCTAAGTTATCTGTGCCATGATCAAATGGTTCAGTGATAAATGCATTTCACAAAGCACCCTACTGCTAAAATATGAAACAAACTTTCACCTTTGTCCATGTATCATGTTGCAGAAAACTCCCATTGGCATTACACACAGGAGTATTACAAGGGTAACACGCCACTGGTTCTTTTCCAAGAATACAGGGCAGCGATACATAAGATGTACAAAACCAAAAACAAGCATTGTTTTGGGACAACAAATCAGATTGTAATACTGATACAAGAAAAGAATTACAGGGATATCTGTTGGGCCAACATACACCCGCTAATTTGATATTGGCAATATCACCTGTCTTGTGATATGGAGGGAGGAATCACCACTTCATTGATTTCAATACCGGCAGTCTTTGACTTGAGATATGAACGGGCTAAATCCAACATCAACTCCACTTCTTTCTTATACTGCAATATAAAGTAATGAACTTTCAGACGTGCATAATCACTTCATCTTCAGGGAAAATAGATGTCAAAATCTGAGATCTGTGATGTAGAGCATTTAAAGTCCATAAAATCAAAATCAGAAAGTTACAGTTTTGCCAGACATGTACAGACCTCATTGATAGCTCCTGCTTTAATCTTGGATTGCATCACACACCATTTTTTGAAATGTGCACCTGTAAAGATAGAGAAATATCCCATTAAATGATATAGCTTGAGGATTTGATGTGTTTCTTTTTACCAAAAGCATGAAAAACCGTGGCTTGAGTCTGAGAACAACCACTTTATACAGCAAAAACAACAAAAAAAAAAATCCAAAGGTTAGGTCCTTATCCAGTCTACCCCTCCCAACACCCCAGACAGCCAGGACCACCATTAGGTAATGGCCCATTTCTATTATTATTGTTATTGTTGGCTGAAAAATGTGCAACAATATCAAAAAGCATTTTATTAAGATTTCAAATACATTAGACCTTCCTACTCTGGTGAATAAGGCGATAACAAAAGAAAAACACAACAAACACAGCTTATATATATATATACCAAGGAGAGGAGAAGAAAAGAAGGTGAGAGATAGAAAAGTGGTTCAAGAGAATGGAATGAACTTCCTGCCAGTTGACTGATTCACTATTTATATGTTTAAATGCATAGAAAAAAAACTACTTTGCCCTTAATGAAGTGGGACAGAATTTAAGCTACTCTTATAATGTAAAAGTAAAGAGATCAAACTGCACCTGGTCTCACATCTTTCAACACTCTCCCTCAATCTGGAACACGAATATCATACAGCCCCAGCTTGAATGTGATTCAATCTTACCCGGTTCAGAGTTCTAAATACATCCTACCCATTGACTTTCAGACCTAAAAAAGGTAGTAGAAATAGCTTATCAAGTAGCTTTTCCCTCACAATGTGACGGTTAACTACTATATGCTTGTTCTTTTACGATTGATTGGGTTGGAATCAATGTGAATAACATCCTAATTGTCACAATACAACTTTAGATGTGTTGGAAACAAGATACTTAATTTATTCAAGGAGATGTTAGAGCTAAATCAACACTACTAACAACCACATCTTGCTTCTTGTTTTTTCACATAACAAAATTCCCTCTAACGAAGGAAATATATCCTGTAGGCTGTAGTAGATATCCTTTCAGTGATATACCCAATGCAGTATGCATCTTTCTAACCCTCAACTACTAGGTGACCATTTGCCTTGTACAATAAGCATTGTCCAGGAGTACCCTTATTGGATTATCCTGATCACAACCTAGTAATATTGAACCTAAGGGCTTCGCATAAACTAGTTTACTACACTCACTACAAACAAGATACATGGTTTCGTAATTACCAGATAATTTAGTTTGCCAACAAGTCTTCTATATCTTCTAGGATCATCACAGAGCTTATCCTAATTATTACTCAACTTGGGGATCCTTGGGAGACTGTTGGCATGGTACTCAACAAACTATCCTCTTCAAATATATTTAAGACATAGTTTGATGCATGTGCATGCAAAGATGGTATTATAGGAATTGCTTAAGCCTCTCTATCCCATATGAGACTCACTCCTTGTAATAATGATATCTTCAAACATAGACCACTGACATGGACTTCCTATCCATTGTGTTAGGTGCTGCCTAACTCTGGATTCGTTTGAGGGAACCAACTGAGAGAGAGGAGAGAGAGAGAGAGAAAGAGACGTGTTGAAGGAACACCTCATACTTGCACTGCTGACACTTTTTTTTTTGACAAGTAAAATGGAAATTTATTATAAAGGAAAAAGCAATATAACCTAGAGAGGTGTTGAGGGAACACCTCCATACAGTGCTAAGATACAGCAGGCACACTGTTGACAAACATGACACATGGAGATGTATTTACTTATGGAATTTAGCATACCCCTCCAATAAAATTGCGAAGACACCCACTTATATGTGTGCAGAACTCCTGAATAGCCGCCCAAAGGTGTCGCATGAAAGTAATCCAGTGATGGGCCCAAGAGGGCTGAATCCGTTGGCATTAGGCAACAGCACTATACCTTTATAGTACAGAACAGACTGAACATCCAGGTTTGGAATCTGGGTTCCGAAGTAATTGCTCCTTGATTAACTGAAGTTCCTTACTATTGGCCGCCTCATCTCGTAATTGGTACCACAACACTGTAGTGGGTTGCTGGAACCTGTGCAACTGAAGTAGGCTAGTGTTAGTGGAGGGGTATTTCGGTCTTTGTACCTGTGAGATTGCTGAGTTGTTTTATTATGTTAGTTCAAGTGCCTCTTACTTAAATAAGGGCACTGATGTCTTTTCCTATCACATTAATAATATAATAACAGGTCTGGCTGAAAGTAGGGTTCGATTTTTTCCTAATTTTGAACCAGACCTTTTCTCTCTTTCTTCCTCTTTCTTCCTTCTTCTTGCTTGCTTGCTTTACTTGACTGGTAACAGACAAACAGACTTCTACGGCAGGCTGAACTTTAACATGGTATCAGAGCCAAATTAAACAAATTGGACTTGCCTAGAATTCTGTCTTCTGCGCATTCGACCTAGGTTTTTCTTTGATTTCTCAGCCGTCGATTGGAGATTGGAAAAAGGGCTGAAAAGGAGTGATCGCCCTCTTCCCTTGGAGGTGTCTATGCCTCCAGTTGTATCAAGTGTGGTCGGTTGCTGTGTTTTCTCAGCCCTCCCCTAATTAATGTAGGGCTGGTACGTGTGGTGCAGTGGGTGTTTTCTTTCTTCGTGTGGTTGTCCTTCAGGCGATGAGGTAAGGAGTTTCTTTTATGCATAATTTCTGTTATGAAGCACATAAGAGGTATGGTACAGATCGTATGGAGGGGTTTCAGGTTGTAGTGTGCTAGGGTTTATGCTAGGGTTTATGCTGGTTTGTGTGTGATTCGAAGGGCAGTGGTGTTCACATAGTGGTGAAACTTCAGGTAG